GGCATCATCATAGCTCACTGCAGCTTCCAACTCCTGGGCTCAAGTGATCCTCCTGCCTCAGCCTCCCAAGTAGCTGGGACTTATAGGCACATGCCACCATGCCTGGCTAATTTTTGTATTTTTTGTAGAGATAGGATTTCGCCCTTGCTCAGGCTGGTTGTTTTTATTTTTTTCTTTGTATTTTCCCATGATGCTATAATCTTAATGATTTCATGATAAGAAAAGTTATTCACAAAATTAAGGAGGAAAAACAAGTTACAAAACAGTATATATAAGTGACTTACAGCATGACAGCAGAAGAAACTCCATAAACCCACTCCCCAGAGAATCTCATGCAAATTATAGATATTAAAAAAACAAATTAAATTCTTTGGATTGCTTTAAATAAATTTTTGCAGATTTTAATTTGCTCTACAATTTCTTGTAGATTTTCCTGTAGAATCTACATATCTTTATAAATTTTGTTATACAAGCATCTCATAACAAGCTGGACTGGCCTGTATGTGAAGTGCAGTGCAGTGCTATTTACTTTTAGATGTTAAATTGCTGATCTGTCTTATAACTTAAACCATTTTTTAATTCATTATAAAAGTAATACGCTTCCTCCCAGTATTCATTTGGGGACATGGCTGATATAATGGTATGTGGCTTGGTTGTATTCACTTGGCATTATGTTGTAAAGGTTTTCTAACGTGATTTGAAGTCTTTATTTCCCAAAAGGGATACATCAAACATGTGAACATTAATTCAAGAAAATCTACTTAAACTTAGCCAGAAAAGCAAGAGTGTAATATCTGAATCAAGATCCACTCCCTCCCTCCCCCCAGGTCAGGAGAAGGAGATGTCACTCCACACAGGTGCAGCCAAGAACACAGGGCTCCTTCTCCCCACCTGCTCCCAGTCACAGGGCTTTCATTCCAGGAGGGGCAGGACATCAGTATTTCTCACCCTGCCACGAGTTACCCGCTGGAGAGGCTAAGTTCCATCAAGAGTGGCTGAAAAGTGAGGCTCCCTTCTTCCATCCAAACAGAGGTCCTACCTCAGGCTCTGTGCTGCCAAGAATACTGGCATCCTAACAGCCCTTGCCCCAGCTTGTGGATGAGGGCTCCACACCGGGAGAGGTAAGACAAGGAGACCTGAGGCTGCTGATGCCCCACCCCTCACTCCCCACAAAGCACTCAGCTTATAAAGCAGGAACAGAGCTCCAAATCTCTCCCCAAAGGAACTGACTTCATCTGCAACAGAGTACAGAGAAGCTCAAACCCAAGGGCACTCTCGAAAACCGTGGAAGTTGGAAGTGGTGAAAGACAACTGGGAAGAAACTGGATAGATGTGCTGGAGATACGGCGAGACTGTGGGCCCACTAGTTTTGTCAGAGAAACAGGGAAAGAGATAGCAGGGAGAAGCCCTCCCAGGGTCAGAACAAATCTCAAACACGAATCTTAGGAACGATCCTTTCAAAGGAGCCCAGATTTGATTGGATCCGTTTGTAGAGCAATTTATGCCCCAGAGCACTGTTGAAAACAATACAGCAAACAACAGCTAGGGATTAGTGGAGCTTAACATCTGGGGTAGTCAGGGAAAGTGATGTCAAAGAGCCCTGCCCAAACCGTGCCATCCCAGGGTGACTGTGGGCATACTCAAGACTGTTCCTCCCTGAGCAGCAACATCAGACCCCTCACATTTCTCGGGGGAGGAAACCGGAGAACACACTTCACTAAAAATAATCAAGCCAGTTAGCAAACAAACAGCAAATAACAATGGGGTGGGGTACCCAGAATTGCTACAATATATTATATAAAATGTCTAGTTTCCAACAAAAAATTATAAGACATGCAAAAAAACAGGAAAGAATGAGATCCACATGCTGGAAAAAAAGCAGTCAACAGAAACTGCCTGTGAGAACAACCAGATGTCAGATTTAACAAAGACTTCAAAGTAGCCATTATAAGTATGTTCTAAGAACAAAAGGAAACCATAATTAAAGAAGGAAGGTATGATGACAATGTTGCATCAGACAGATAATATCGGTAAAAAGATAGGAATGATTAAAAAGAACCAAATGGAAATTTTGGAGTTGAAAAGCACAAAGCTGAAATGAAAACTCCACTAGGGGGACAAAATTGTATATTTGAACTGGCAGAAAGCATTAGCAAACTTGAAGACAGAACAGTATCAATTACTGCAATTCAAAGAACACAATGAGGAAGTATGAACAGAATCCCAGAGAAATGTGACGCATCATTAAATACACCAACATATGCATACTAGGAATGCCAAAACGAGAAAACTGAAAAGAGCAGAATAACATATCTGAAGATATAATGGCTGGAAATTTCACAAATTTACTGAAAAACATTAATCTACACACATCCGGGGAAGCTCAATGAACTCCAGTTAAGATAAAAGCAAAGATATCCACAAACGACCACATCATATTAAAAATGTTGAAAGCCAAAGACAAGGAAAAAATCTTAAAAGCTGCGAGACAAAAATGATTCAACAATTACAACAATTACAATTACAAGGGAACCCCAATTCTTAGCTGACTTCTCATTAAAACAATGTATACAGTATGATTCAATTCTGTATAAATGTTAGTGTAGGTATATACACATAAATACACATCTATATTTAGAGAGAAAAAGGTCTGGAAAGATGTATTTCAAAATGTTAAATTTCATTCTTTAAATAATGGAAATAAAGACTTCAAATCACATTAGAAAACCTTTACAACATAATGTCAAGTGAATATAACCAAGCCACATACCATTATATCAACCATGTCCCCAGATGAATAGTGGAAGTGTTTTACTTTTATAATCAATTAAAAAATGGTTTAAGTTATAAGACAGATCAGTAATTTAACATTTAAAGTAAATAGCACTGCACTGCACTTCACATACAGGCCAATCAAGCCTGTTACGAGATGCATGTATAATTTATAAAGATATGTAGATTCTACAACAAAATCTAGAGGAAATTGCAGAGCAAATTAAAACCCACAAAAATTTATTTAAAGCAATCAATGCTGGCCACACTTGGGAGATTATTCACATATGCATTTGCTATATACCTGGCCCAATCTGGTCCCCAAAAAACTATGGACAAAAATGGAAAAAATATATTTTTTTCAACCTTAAATAGTGCACAGAATCGAAAGGTGGCTAAGAATGGTAGAAAACTTAGGACATCCTCTTGGTTTCTATTTATTATCCCAAGCTGATCATATTCCCACATAAGCTAATTATTCTAGGTTAGTGATGGGCCAGCTATGCCAAGAAGCATCCTCAGGCATAAAGACTCCTCCATCTCAGGATCTGGCACTTTAAAACCATACTGGGGAAACCACCAACACGATGTCAGTTATCAGGTCACGAAGCACTTCCAACCCAGCCTGGGGACCACAGGCTAGGGAGATTATTCCAATGCCCTCATCCCAAAAGCTAGTAAGCTATTATACAGTTCCAATTTGCCTTTTACCTACTTCATCTTGATTTCTGGGCCATTAGGAATGATATCAATGATGAACTTAACCAAAATGAAAAAAGAAGGGGAATATGAAGAGAATCCTGGGTAAAAGACAATGCCTAATATATATCACTTTTTAAATGAAGATTTCTAAAAGAGCCTAATATTTGGTTCTACTCATTCACTCTCTGTTCATTCAAGTTTCCTGTTTCACAGCCAGTGCCTGCCCAACACCAATCAAGGAGAGTAACTAACTGGCAGTCATGCAAAAGTCACATAACCTTGTGTGTCCTCCAGCCACCTGACTCCAAGATGGCTACAACAAACGAAGCTCCCCATGCTAACAGAACAAACCCAACACACCAAGTAAATTGGGCATTACTTCTGCCATGGCTTACAAAATTTTCTTTTTTGAGACAGAGTCTCACTGTGTTACCCTGGCTAGAGTGCCGTGGTGTCAGCCTAGCTCACAGCAACCTCAAACTCCTGGGCTCAAGCGATCCTTCTGCCTCGGCCTCCCAAGTAGCTGGGACTACAGGCATGCACCACCATGCCTGGCTGATTTTTTTTTTTTTGTATATATTTTTAGTTGTTCAATTAATTTCTTTCTATTTTTAGTAGAGACGGGGTCTCGCTCTTGCTCAGGCTGGTCTCGAACTCCTGAGCTCAAACAATCTGCCCGCCTCAGCCTCCCAGAGTGCTAGGATTACAGGCGTAAGCCACTGCGCCCGGCCAAAATTTTTTTAAATATTTGTTTTTTCTGTAACTGTTCTGAAATGGCTACAGGGAAAAAAATACAAGACTTTTTTCACAGTAATAAATAAGCTAAGACATATTAGCAAAATGGGAATTGGACAATTCTGGTGATTATTCACCCAGCAGGGTTGATAAATCATACAGTTTTACTGGTGCTAAGGATGCATAATTATTGAACTATGGAGGAAGATAACCATATTGTGACATTGTGAAATACGTATTTTTTTTCATCCCTGTTTCCTAGCATATAACTCTTAAAATCCTTGGAATCTACAGAGTGTTTAAGTGTCTTTTTGTATGATAATAAATTGACTGATGGCTGGCAGCCCCTAAGTAGCTTCAGGATTAGAGCTGGTCACCAGAAAGACCAAGGCTTGATTAGGCTGGGACTTTCAGCTCCCTACCCCTACCTCCAGGGAGGGGAGAGGGGCTGAAGATAAAGGTGATCACCAACATCCAATGCTTTAATCAATCATGCCTACAGAATTAAGATCCCATAAAAACCCAAGAGGACAGAGTTTGGAGACCTTGCAGATAGCCACATATATAGAGGCTTCCAGGAAGGTGAACACCACCTCTACTTCCCAGGAGGTGGGTACACCCCAACTCCACAGGGACAGAAGCTTCTGTGTGCAGGACCCTTCCAGACCTCACCCTATGTATCTTTTCATCTAGCTATTTATCTGTATCCTTTAAAATATCCTTTGTAATAAACTGGTAAACATGAGTAAGTTTGCCTAAGTTCTGGGAGCCACTCTTAATAAATTAATGGAACCCAAATAAGGGGAGATAAGAACCCAGATTTATAGCCACTTTGTCAGAAGCACAGGCAAAATAACCTGGGACTTCAACCTATGTGATCTGGCGCTATCTCAAGGTGGATAGTGTCAGAATCGAATTGAATTACAGGGCACCCAGCTGGTGTCTGCTGCAGAATCGATTGCTTGCTTGCCACACATCTGCTTACGGAAGTATTCTGTATTGAGTCAGTGAGAGAACATGAAAAACACTTTTTTCCCTATATCCACACATACCTTGCTTCTTCCAACTGTTTCTCTCTTGCTTTCCTCTTGGCCTTCTTTCCCTGAGTATTAGCCAGGCGGGCTCTAGCTTCAGAAAGCATTTCAAGTTCATCTGCCAAAAAAAAAGAGAAGAAAAACTAAGTTCTTCTCCAACAGAAGCAAGGTATGTTAAGATATACCCTAATACTTAAAATGAGAAAAAACATAAATATACTCATTATATGCTGTAATATAATGGAAATAGCTTGAGTTTTGAGTCAAAGAACCTAGGTTAAAAACCAGGCATACCACTTGCTAGCTATGTGACCTCAGTCACTTATTTATCCTTCCTGAGTGTGTTTCCCTATAAAATTGGATTAACAATTCCTACTTCACAGAGATGTTCATAAGAGCTAAATAAAATGAAGTATGTAATGCATGCAGCAAGTATTCATTAAATAGTGACTACATTATCACATCCTTCATTATCATCAACTGGCACAGCACAAATTGTGAAATACTATAAAGACTATTATGAGAAAATCGCTATCATTTGATATATTTTTTCCCCTCACAACTATTCCTCTCCTCCAACACATTTTTCATGGCTCTCCAGAATAGAATAATAAATGCCACTACTGACACCTTAGAACAATTTCTACACAAGGCTGTCCAATGAAATCACATGGGAACTTTTAAAAAACTCAGATTCCAGGATCACTGCCCTCCCTCTACCCCATCCTCCCACCCCAGGGTTAACTGACTCAGCAACTCCAGGGCAAGACACGGCACTTGTATTTTTAAAAGTCCCCCATATGACAAAGATGCAGCCAACCTAGCCCGTTTGCCTTTGGGAACCACTACCTTCAAACTTTTACATTTTAAAAACTCAAGTATTAATTGAGTGCTTCACAACAACCCTGTAAGGAAAAGTAGATATTATTATTCTCTATCTAGCAGGAAAGGGAATCAAAGCTGAGTGAGATTATATGACTTGCCTAAGGTCAAACAGCTAATAAGTAGCAGACATGGGTCTTAAAATCCAATTCCTGATTCTTGATTCAATGCCTCACAAAATCATCATTAGTCTCATCGCAAGTGTTACCTTCTCACACAGATTAAATGACCTGCCTATAGTCAAAGAAGTAATTAATAGGACTGAGGTCCAATATCCTGACTTGTTGCCTCTCTCCCTAGAGTGGGAATGAGAAACAGGATACTCAAGGGCTCACCTCTAGCCTCTGGGAAATCTGCCCAGTGATATTACATTGCTTAATTTTTGTTTTGTTTTATTTGTTTGATTAAGAGACAGAGTCCTGCTATGTTCCTCTGGCTGGCCTCAAACTCCTAGGCTCAAGTGATCCTCCCACCTCAGCCTCCCAAAACAAGTAGCTAGGACTATAGCAACATTGCTTAATTAATTAAGTGAATTGAAGAAATGGAAGATAAAGGTGCACTGTCCAAAAAGAGCAACTACTCTATCATAGAAAAGACCAAATACATTTGGAAAGATACTTAGAATTAACAACTGCTTACAAAATTGGAACTCTAAAAGCTCAGAGGAGTTCAGAAAAGAACTAAAGAGTTAAAAAGAAGCCTGAATAGTTTACAGTTACCAAAGAAAGAAAGTGCTCACCAGCATACACTTACCCTCATCCATATCAATTGGATCGGGCCGTGCTGGTTTTGTTTCTGGATTTGGATCTATTTCCCCAGGTTTAAGTTTTCGTGGATCATCCGTTGTTTCCTCTTCATTGTCTCTTTGGGCAGCTTTATCCCTAGATAAACGCCCAGATGGGTTAGTCACACTGTCATACCATTTCATATTAGAATTATCAGGTTTCTTGCTCTGACACTCTTTTCTCCCAAAAAACCCAATGTATAGGCTTCAACAAAATAAAGCATTTCTACTATCACTTCGTCTGAAAGAGATGGTATTAAAATTTTCTAATTTCAGTATTTCCAATCACTATGAAATAGGATCCAAGCAGCCCCTAATCACAAATGCATACTAATAAAAAAAAAAAACTATTAGTAAAGAACAAAAATGTTCCAATAGTTAATTCTGAGCAGTGTGATTATAGGTAACTTTTATTTGCTCTTTTACTATTTTTTCCCAGATTTCCAATAATTAACCTGTATTACTTGTATCATTTTTTAATTCTTTTAAAAAATATGTAATATATAATTATGATTAGTCATATGAGATTTAGAATATATAATCCAATAGCTTTAGCTCCTTTGGCTTTATTCACGTCTGTAATTATTAATAAAAGTTTAAAGACAGAAAATGCTAAAAGTATGTTCAGCCCCATTCAGAACATACACACATATTTTATGCAGCTTTTGAAGATTCACTTACAGAAGAAATTCATAGTGTTCCAAGCACTGGGCTGCTGTTCTTCCAATGATTGGAGCAATGGTCCTCCACTGAGTTGGCATCAACTTGGCCAAGTGCAAGAGTTTTTCCTCTTCTTCTCTGGACCACTCTGTTTTCTTAATGCTTGGATCCAGCCATTCATACCTATTAAAACGATATCATTTTATATATCAGTCATCTAGCATAAATATCCAATTTACATAATAATTACACTGACTTCTAGTGTCTGAAAAACACATGTTCTCATCCTTCAATTACTAAAGCTGTTCTTTTTGACAATAGAATATTCACTGTGTGGTTAAACTTATCCCACTCAATATTCCCCATCTCACCACATTCTACTGTATCTTAATTATGCAAGATTAGTAATGCTTAAAAAAGGTACTTGGCTGAATCATGACATGCCTTCTTTATCAAGTCTCATTTGTTTTTATCTATTTTATAGTTTATTAGAGGTTTCGAAATTATCTGGAAATAAGGCATCACCACCTCATATTTTCACACTTTTTCTAATTTCCGTTGTACTTTCACATGCTTTGACTCTCACAACACCTTGCCTTACTTCTTTAAGCATTTACTTACACTCACTAAATGTCTTTCAACGTTGTATGCTTTCATTTGGTATGGTTTGAAATTTAAGTAAAACTACGATAGCACCCTCTGTCTTTCCTAATGCCCCACCCACCTCAACTTTTCCATCCAGTCTACTTAGCTGGAGGAGAGCCTGGCAAACAAGACGTAAGTCCTACCAAATATCAGAGAAGGAACTTAGTGCTATTAAGAGAAACAGAAATCAGAACCACTTTTTCAGCCTAAAAACCATCTTCCTCTTTGGAGTCCAATTTCTACATTCTGATCTTTTTCCCATCCATGATCCTAGGAAATTAGACCACTCTTACACAATCCAAAGTAGGCCCCACAATCCTAGGCCCACATTAGTTGGGACTGGGGCCAGATCCTCATGCCAAGAACACATGTAAATAGCTTAATATATCCATTGCTCTGTAATTTAAAAGGTGACACCATAGGTGTAGTGTTGGCTTACGTTATGTTTTAGGGTAGCAAATATACAATATTTTGACTCCATTATGAGTAAACTGAGGTACTATGGGCTTTCCTAGAAAATTAACCATTATTTATCATTTATATTTGGGAAAGTAAGTTCTAACAAGCCAACTTGCCCAGGCATAGTGGCTCATGCCTGTAACCTCAGCACTTTGGAAGGCCAAGGCAGGGTGGATCACTTGAGGCCAGGAGTCTGTCCAAGACCAGCCTGGGCAACAAGCAAGACCTTGTCTCTAAAAATAAAAATAAAAAAATTAGCTGGGGCTGGTGGTATATGCCTGTAGTCCCAGCTAATTGGGAGGCTGAGGTAGGAGGATCGCTTGAGCCCAGCAGTTCAAGGTTACAGTGAGCTATGATGGTGCCACTGCACTCTAGCCTGGGTGACAGAGCAAGACCCTGTCTCTAAAAAAGATCAAAAAAACCCAAAAAAAACCCAGCCAACTTATAAACTTTAGGAACACAACCCATCTATAAGACAGAGACCATTTGTCCCTAAAAGTAGACTCTATGCTTCACAAAGCACTCTCAAATACATTAACTCACTTAGATGGAGCCTCTTATCTCCATCAGTTAGGGTCAAGTATTATTATCCCCAGTTGGGAGAAAACAAGGGCAGGGAAAAGGGAACAGAAAAATGGCTTGTCTGAGATCACATAAGCAGCAACTGATAGCTAAATCGAAAACCAAATCCCCATCTCCCACTTCATACTTTCTGTAATATACTGTCTGCTTTCCTTTACAAGGTTCAAAGAACTGACATTTTCCTCATCATAATTAAGGCAATTTTCTGTTTTCCACTTATTAACCGTACATACCATCTGGCTTTGCATTGCTTTGCTGATTTTCTATGTAGCAGTGAGGCAATCCTAGACCACTGGTTTTTCCCATATTTCATTACCGCTGCTTTCAGAATTTCATCCTAAAAAAAAATTGTCAAAGAAAAAGAGTACATTCAATCACAAAATGCCAAGTGAGAAAAGACAAAACTTAAATTAACTCTGATAGGATTGCTGGAGAGTGAGAGAGAGAGAGAGAGAGAGAGAAAGAGAGAGAGAGAGAGAGAGAGACACATACACACATACTCCCTGGGATCAAAAAAAAAAAGTATGAAAATGTCATTAACTATAATGATAAACAGCAAGCATAAATTAGCAAAATGTAAGAAATTAAGAAATCCCTTAGAAGGACATCTTACCCTCCCTTACACCACAAATGCCAATAAACTGGGAGTGGGAACAGCCCAATTTGAGAAAC